CCCGGTGCGTCGCCATGGAAGCCATCACCCTCGGCAGCGCCGTTGCCATGGAGACTGTTGCCACGGAGACCCGGCCCAGCTCCCACCGTTATCCCGGGGTCTTCAGCCTCACTCTCCGCTTGTTCCCAACAGGCCTCCACCGGGGCAGGCTCTCCCGAGGGACACACGCCCATTCAAAACGGCGGGGAGTGCGGCAGAAAAGAGCACGGGACCTCGTGGACACCCCTGATGCATCCTGACCGTTGACCGCTGCAATTCCGAGGCCGACATCCCCATGGAGCACAAATGGCTCTGGGCAACGGATGTTTCCGCGTGCCGGGAGTCTGGCCTCACTTTTCTCATGGATTCCTGCGGCTTTTCCATCCGCTCCCGCCTTCAAGGAGCCAACATGAGCCGGCCCTTCCAGCCCATGGGGCTCCACGGCGGTGGCACTGGGTGGCCCCATCCTGGGGACCGGCCACGAGCGTTGAACACCGGTGCGGGAGCCTCCGGCTCGAGTTTTCCTTGTGGGATTCGTCCCATCCGCGTGCCGAGGCCGAGCTGGAATTCCTGGGCTGGTCAGGGATCTCTTAACGGATGAGGATGGAATCAAGGAGTGACAAAGCTGGGAATGCCGCATCCACCAGGCCGGGAACAGTCAGTGGATGCTGGGGGTATCCAGTGCATTCCGGAGCTCTCCCAGGACGGGGATTTCCCAGTCCATCCCGGCTGGAAAACTGGGTGGTTTCATATTAACCCTAATGGTCTCTAGTACTTTTATTCCTCCCTGCTCATTCTGTGCACAGCAGGTTAAATAAACCTCAGGTGCTTTAAATTTCCTGATTAAAACTTAAATTAAAATAAAAATTAATAAATTTAACAATTAAATTCTATCAATTCTATTTAATTCTAGAGGAGAACCAAATCTTTATAATGATTTTTGTGTTGCCCACTAAATAGAGGTGCATAATATTCAAGAAAATAAGTGAGGTTTGTGGCCCAGAACAGTACCTGGTTTCAAAAGGTGTTTTAGGAGTTTTAGATGCTGAGGAAGGGTCTTTTTACACCCGTTTTTGGGGCAAGTAACAGGCAAAATAAGCAGCCCGGGCCTTCTGGCCCCGTTTTTCCCTGCACCCATTAAGCTACTGCAGAATTTTAATGTTTTAGGGAGTAGAAAGTGCACCTTTCCCACCCTGACCTAAATTGGAGTGAAACAAAGCTATTAAACCTATGAGCTCTCCCTGTGTAATTTAATGTACGTGAGGAGACACATCTGAAATAATGAGCCCTGCCCATAAACGCGTCTGCTTCGGAGTCAATCCGAAGAGAAACTGACTTCACTATTTATTTAAACTGACGGGCATCAGGGTTCGAGCGCCGTTCACGCAACGTCGCGGTCATTACCCCGGTGGCGTTGGCGTTTCCACGAGCCCGACAATTGTGGCCTGCCGCCCCGATTTCCCTTATAACGGCGGCGCAGCCTCCCCGGCGCCTCACGCGCCTCAGCGGCAGCGACAAAATGGCTGCCCCGGCCCCTGAGGCGGGAAGAGAAGTGGAGAAGGAGGGCGGGGCGAGGGGGCGCAGCGCCGCGCGCTTCACGCCCAGGAGCCAATAAGA